ATTACTTTTATTAGAACAAAAAATATTCTAAAGGCTAGGCAGTTATACCGGCGTGTGCCATTGATATCAATTGGTAGACTAAATTATAATTTGCTTATTTTCAGTTCTGTCTCTTTGTTTGTGAATAAACAATGGTGAATAGCAGAATAATGTGTGAATTATAAAACAGATATTTTAGTGTTATGTACAATTTGTATAAAAATTAGATCATGTGTTCATGTTGAACAATTAAATGATATATTGTTTTGTAAAATGAAATTGAAATTATTGTTCTATGAAGTAAATAAGCATGACAATATATCAAAATTAAACGGTATTATACATATAAAGAAACAAATATATATATATATATATATATATATATATATATATATATATATATATATATATATATATATATATATATATATATATATATATATATATATATATATATATGAACCATATTGTGGCATCCATATGTATATACTTTGGAAAGATATATGCTGTATTTTATTAGTTTATTAGCAGTGTTATAGTTAAAGGTTGAAACTGCAGGCTGAAACGCAATTAATCAGCTGTCAATTTCCTTCGACAGTAACACGAAAGGCAAAGGATTCCCGACAAATCTGAAAGAAAATTGTCTTCTGTAATTGACAATTAATCACCACAAACTTTCGTTGATTTAAAACTGCCTTGTCTGCACAACGATCTTTTAATAAATAAATAGAAGGATCCAATAATTGGCAAATATTTTTCCTATCTCCAAAAAAGGCAACTATATTTTATGCTTTTCTTAAACATACCTTTTGTCTTGATGTTAGATTCATTTCTCAATCCAATACACACAACATCTAGAATGGATGATGCTACAACAATGTGGTTCTATTATTTATAACATTCTCCATCTTTGCTTTTCACTCAATTGTACCAACATTTTAAAATTGTACTCGCAAAAAGGAAGTTTCGAATTTAATGGTTACTTGGTCAAACATACGACACATTTCATTTTAATTTTTAAAGTTGTGACAATTATTGGTTTTAATCTGAATATGTAGGATTGATCCTATGAGAGTAACGAGATGCACTTGTATTAAAACCATCTCATTTCAATTGTATAAAAATTGTGATCAGGTTAAACGAAGCATTAACGTTATTTTTTTTAGATTTTTCATGTTTCTATTGTATGTTTCAGACTGTGACGTTCCTGACAAGACTTTGGTAGGTTAAGTAATTATCTTATTTTACTTTCATATTAAGTTTAGTTTTCTGATAGTACATTTCATGCTTTTGTTGAATAAGTATGAAAGGTACGCCACTGTCTAGAAATGGAAAAGAGATGATTGGTCACTCCATCATAGCGCATTACTAAAGGGCAAAGCATTAGAAGTATGTTGTCTTTTACCCGCAACCGATATGCTACATCACCTCGCGTTGAAGGAAACTCTGTTAAAGACATACGAGCTAAGCGAGCAAGGGTTTCGCATGAACTTTTAAGTATAGCAAACGAAAGAAAGGCGATACATTGAGGCAGTTCGTCAGTAGGTCCGGCATTATTTGCAGTGATGGGTGGAATGTGGTAAAATCGGTAAATCGTTTGGCCTTATCGATTTCTTGCTCTGAGACCAGTTATTGTAGGAAGGAGTTTTATCTGTCCTTGATGGAAAGTCTTTCACAAATATATGTGACATGACCCCAACGGTGGATTTATTCGCCGAGGCTTAGGGAGGTTTCCAGAATGTGGTCTCGCGAGACAATAAGGGCGGGAATCAATCTGAAGACCAAAGATCCACAGACCATATAACCCCTGTTAAGAATAAAGGGAAGTTTCAATCTACCAAGAGCACAAATCACAAGGAGAAGCAATGCTTCTCTTGAAAGGAGTTGGGCCATATCTCCCCGATTGTCTTAAGCGAAAGGGATTGGTCGCCAGTGGTTCGTTCCAGCATAAGAGAATGGATACAATATACGAGACCATGGTACGTGCGCAGATAGGTGGTGATGGTATCCAGTCGATCGGAATGGTCTTTTTCTCCAAGACAAGGGTAGCAACAGCTAGTGGTACCGACAATGAACAAGTCACGGTTTTACGAGACACAGGATGTACAAGTGCAGTCAGTAAAACAGAGCATCTGTAACGAGATAACCGAGATGGATTTCGGATTCATAATAGAGCACTTTTTATGGTTATACGGATACAATGTTTATTGATATACGACTTTAATGAGAATTGAATACTGATCAATTCGTGAGTGTATAAGCTTGAAATATTGGACAAGTTAATATAATCCACATGAACCTAAAAATGCAACAAATATAAATACAAATAAATGACCTTAAACAGTAGAAGGGCAAAGGTGAACGTTTCACAATAATTTCACACGAGAGGCTTTGAGTGACAGAGTGGTCTAAGGCGCTTTCCGTTACGGATCACTACATTCTCACCTCCGTCTGCGTGGGTTCGAGTCTAGGATTCGGCTGATGCGAATATGTGAGAAAGCTTGCCAGTAGCTTCTCGTGGATCGGTGGTTCTTTCCGGGGATATCCCGGTTTCTTCCTCAACCAATATTACTGGCCACCATGTGAAGTTTATCGTGTGCTGAAAAATGGCGTTAAGCCCCACAACAACAACAATTTTACACGATGGAAGAATAAAATGAATAGATTGTTTTACTTAATAAGAAAAATCATTATAATAGTGAAAACTGACGTATTTCACTCAAACAGTAAAATTTTGAATTGATTGGACAGATATCATACAAAAAAAATCTTTGCACTTCCAAAACCATGGGTACAAACACACCCAAAAAATATTTGTCCACGGCTAAAAGATTGCATGCTTGGAGCAACACAAACACTTCCGCCAATAGAACACTTGGCTATCATTCACACTGGTAAATCAAGTAAACATTATTATAGGTAGTCCCAGATCACCATTTAATTTCATTGGTCAATCAAGCAATCGGCGCCCATCAATTCGACCAGCAACACTGTTCACTCAGCTGTATGACTACTATGGTGAAGCTTTTCAGCTGCTATGGTCAACTTCTTTGGATCCACATTGACTACGATCAGCATGGATCACTTTTACACATGGATCACTGCGATCAGCTAAAGATACATCTAACACCGTGTACTATGCGTGACACGGCATATGCGATAACACGTAATGACGTTATTTACGGTAAGTTATGCAAATTACTTTATCGGTACATTATCAGCAAATTACTTTATCGGTACAACATCACAAATAAAAAAACAGGTTCAGAAGTGAACATGTGTCCTATAAAATTCCTATGATTCTAAACATTTCCTAATTAAATGCAACTTTATATTTTTAATATAAACCTCTTGCTAAGTCACACATAATAGAAAATACCTACGTTAGACTACGTAAGCCAAAGCTTCATTGAAAACATACAAAAATAAACGTAATAGTACAATAGTTATAACTTGCAATTTACATAAGAAATAATATACATAACAAATTAACAAACAACTTAATATCTCTACAGCTAAAGACATGCAAGTCCCTAAGTTTTATTGCTGTGGTTACTCTCATATTGACATCATTTGAGTACCCCTTGTGACAAAAGTTAAATTATTTTATATGTTCATGTGTTTTTCTATATGTGTGTGTTTTGTATTAATTCTATTAAATATCGTTTGTATTATATTTTGAGCAAGGGATTGTGCACCATTTAAATCTTTTATTTCTTCTTATAAATATATATATATATATATATATATATATATATATATATATATATATATATATATATAATATCTAGAGTTGTGATTAAATTCACAATCATCGTTTCCTATCAGTTTAAAATTTAATAAATGAAAGCTAAATTAAACTAATTCATATTTAATTCCTATTAAGAAAAGTGTATAGTCTTAATAAATAAATATATATTATAATGTTGCGCACATATTGTTTGAGAGCCTAATTGTGCAAGAACATTCTTCACACTAGGCTTTTGCGATTACGTGAACACAAGCTCACGTGCCACGAGTTTCTAATACAATGACAATTTTGATCGCAATTATAATATTAAGTGGTTATAGTTTGATTATTAATAATTTAATAATTTAATATTGTTTTAAAGTAATGCATTAATATTTTACTAGTTTAGTCAAATTATTTGTAATATGTAAATTTAAAAAAAAATAGCTATTCTATTTATTGGTAAAGTTAAATTAATAATATAAAATGTCTAATAGCATTCTTTGTATTCTTTTAAATTGTTTAAACCTTTCTTACGTAATTTAAATCACAAGTCCGTTTTCCTCTGCGTTAAGTCATCTTTTAATCCATAGAGTATAACGAGTGTATTTTATCCCTAGTCACTTGAAGGAGTCGCAATATCTTAATTTTGTCGATTTGTCCTTTCTCTTTGATCAAGAGAAAGGGGTCTCACCATCGAATATTATATTCCATTTCTTTTGCATTTCGATAACAACAAATTTTAACAATCTTGCTTCATGTCCTTAATTCAAAGTCCGTTTCGTTTCCAATCGTTTGATTCTGTAATTCTTCCTGTTTATCCGACATTTTAGAACTAGGGGGCTCCTATATTGATTAGACTTCTTGCTGACAATACTTTCTGTAATGTAAAGATATCAATTAACGGTGAGACATTTATATACAGATGATGTAGCCTTGCTAGATGTCAATCGATTTTCCCATCGAGAGCACTTCGCACGTGCGGCGGGTATGACCCTGAACTCACTAGTTCGAATTATTGTGTGTGTGTGTGTGTGTGTGTGTGTGTGTGTGTGTGATTTAGATATTTTAACGTAGCTTTAACGAATTTTCAGTCATATCGCTACGACGTCTGCAATGTGAAAGTTTATAGTGATGTATAGCACTGGGGCATCATGCCGCAGATATGTGGCATGATGTCCCACCCAATCACATTATCCTGACATCAGGCCGACCAGTCCTAGCATAAACCTCTTAATGCTGAGCGCAATGCGAGGCAGCTGTTAGTACCATTTTTTAAAAGTCTTTGGTATGACTCAGTCGGGGTTCTAACCCACGACATCCCGCATACGAGGCGGACGGTTTAACCACTAGGCCACCGGAGCGGTTTCGAATTATTGTACAATATACATAAATCACTCTCGGGTATCGTTTTACATAAGAAAAGAAAACCGAGTACATGTATTAAATATAATGGGATTTATACAATTTCGTGACAGCCTCGTTAAGGATGAAAAATTGCTTGGTTTAATATCACCTTATATGCTGCTAGACTAAACAACTTTGAGTACGACCGCAGAGAAACTCTATCTGGTACGGTGAATAATTGTGAGAGCGGGGGGTTGGTCATCAGATTTCTACGTAGAAAAGGATACATGTACACTGAATATACTACGCAAGACGGTAGGATGTTCCTACAACTAGTTGTTCCCCAGAAATTTTGGTCACTTGTACTTGGAGTGATGCGTGAGTCAAGTATGGCAGGCAAGTCACCTAGGCATTAAGAAAACTGCTGATAGGTAGTACCAGAATTTTATTGGCGCGGTGTTCATAGCGACATAGCAACCGCTTTGGTGGCCTAGTGGTTAGAGCGTCCGCCTCGTATGCGGGAGGTCGTGGGTTCGATCCCCGTTCGAATCATACCAAAGACTTTAAAAAATGGTACTAACAGCTGCCTCGCTTGGCGCGCAGCATTAAGAGATTAGTGTTAGGACTTGTCGGCTTGTTGTCAGGATAATCGAGATTGTATAACCTATATTTCCACCTAAAGATCAGAAAAAACCGCTACATCTTAGCACTAATAGACTACGGGACTAGGTACTCTGACGCTATACCATCAGTCGAACGTGAGGCCGAAGCGCTTGTTGAGGTGTGCGAAAGAGTCAGAGTGCCTTAGGATTATGGAACACATTTCAACTCACATCGTATTGCAGAAATTAGTAGGTTGTTGTTCCTTAATCAGTTACGTGCACACCGTATCATATTATGTGTAATAGACTAGTAAAGAAATTTAATGGGACGTTTAAACAAATATTACTTCGGATGTACGCACATAGATCTCGAGACTGGGATACACATCAGAACGCGATTCTGTTCTCGTATTCCTGACGAAAGTTTGGGTTACGCGTATTCTGCACGAAAAAAATGGTTGAACCAATTCGTGAAAGAAGAAGTTAAGACCATTTCCTAATACGTAGAGGACTTGCGAGTAAGATTGGAGAAGACGCATCGGATGGTACAGGACGAGCTCTCAAAGTTTTGTCGCACGTACGCGAAGTATTACAAGCCGGAAATGTGAAGAAAGAAAATTAACGTGGGTGCTTCTCCCTACAAATAAAATCAAGCTCTAAGTCTAATAGAAAAGACCATTAGAAGTAAGACAGGTAAACGGCGAAATGGGTTATATCATCGATATGGAAGGTAGGTCATATAGACATTTTATGCCAATATGCTGAAAGGTTCCGTTGGAAGACCTGATCAAGCAGTTGATAAAGGGGTAGGTAGGTACTACACTCATAGAAGATAAATCGAGCCTCCAGTCAGAATTTGTCTCCATTACCGAAATGTCCCTTGAATACCCCATCGAGGTAGGGAAAGAGGGTATAGATCAGATCATTGTGTGCCCAGACTTACCTGAGGGTCAGCGTACACAGGTCTGGGCAATTTCGTCCAAATATCGCGATGTGTTTACAGACTGACCAGGCCATACTGGGTTAATACAACACGATTTGAAGTTGAACACCTCAGAGTAGATCGGGATAACAGAATATCCAATAGCCATTAACGCGCTGGTGACAATTAACGAAGGAGTAGAGAAAATGTTAGATCTAGGAGTTATCGAACCTTCTAGTTCCCCACATTCATCTTCCGTAGTAGTAGTCAGAAAGTAGTACGGGGAATAAACTGTTTTTGCATTAACTTTCAGGAATTGAACAAAATCACCTTGTTCGATGCAAAACAGACCTGGAGGGTTTGTTTTCAAAATTAGCAAGGCACCAATACATTTTCAAAATTATATCTTACCAAATGATATTGATAGATACAAATCGCTGATAATGCCCCTACGTTAAAGGCTTTCGCAAATCTCAAAGGTTTTTATCCGTCTTAGGTCATACCGTTTTGTTTGGTCAACGCCGATTATTTGAACGTTGGTCTTAGGCGCAAATTGTTGAAAGGTAAATAAAACGTTGACAATCTCCTACACAATATTTTCGTCTATACGTTAACCTGGAAGGAACATGTTAAAGTATTATTCAATCTGTTTGAAGGAGGCAAAATCTTCATCTGTAGAGCTGTGAATGGGCGTGAAAGGCTGCTAGAAGTGACGGAGTGATATAGTTATGCTGTATCATCGTCTTTGCACCGTACTGAAGCCGAGGTGCTAATTTGGGTTGGTATATACGCAGTGTGCTGCTATCAGTGGTGACGTTGGTCCTGAAGAAGATAATGCTTATCTCGTGGTGAGGGACAGAAGCTTTGGGACCAACGGATATGCAGGGAACAAGACGTTCTACGGATCATTAGTTACACTGGAAGGGGCATACCAATCATGGTGGCTCCGTGACCATCCGACACAGATTTGGGGCTAAAATATATATTGCTAATGAATTGGAAGCAGCAAGATATAGGTTGAAATTTTTACAATCATTTACAGCTATATGTGCCAAATAGTCTTATCACCTTTTGAGCGAAAGTTTGTCGGAGCTGTACACAATTATTTATTTAATTATTTGCGTGAAAAATTTCGTCATTGTATGTGTGAATCAGTTAATCATTATGTAAGTGAAATCACTTTCTTTGATATGTCTTTAATCTGTTTCTTTTTATTCCACATCAGTTTCTTTTTCGTATAAATTGCAATTCATTCCAGTTAGGAACTGATTTATGTCCAATATTTAACTAAGTATGCATTATTGTGTTAAATATCCAAAGCTTAGATTTTGCTTAGGACTTTGTTACCTTTACATCATTTATAAATAAACCTTGTATCGTCGTTACCATTTCTTTGCGTCTTCGTTAAAATCTGACTCCATCCAGGTTAACCTTGTTACAAACTACAATGTTGGCACAAAGAACAGACACCTTATTAACCTCATTATCCTAATCACACCCCGATGTAACACTTATAACAAAAATTACAAACACTGATGAATGAAACAAATTTTTCAGAACAGAAAACTCTTAATGGCATGGAGAATTAATGTATCCACATTCAATTGTTTAACCGAACAACTTTCAGACGAGATGACTCTGAGAGAAATGTCAGAAGGTAGAAATCTTCAGAAAAGGATGACCGGCACGGAGACTTGGAGGACAGATAAAGGTTAAAACATGAAAAACATTTTTTTTTAGGCTCCACATGTTACAAATTAGCAAGTTGCCAACATCTATATTAACAACTTGTTTGATCTAAAGGATGTTGCTAACACCCTTGCAAGCTCACGCTATAAGTGAAATCATATATCAAACACAAGAACCGATTACCACTGCTCAGACATCATCGGACACGTAAAGCATTACAATCCAAAAATTCCCAACGAACGAAAGAGCAACTGCAGTTAAAGAACATACCGAGGGTCAGCACCAACTGCATGAGTTGACCTTTTGATTAGCCAACAGCTAATACAAATTAAAACTACATAACGTGTTCTAGCAATCAAACATATGTCTTCGCATTTAAAACATTTGTGTATTGTGAAACACGCTAAATCGTAACAAAATGTAGCAATTATAAAATTATGTTGAATAGATATGTTCTTTTTAATAATGCGCAGTAGCTGAAAATTGCTAAGTAGCCATGCACATTGTTTAATTTACGTTTTAACTTAGGAGTTTGGCAAATTCATGTTAGTGTTTTTCTCATTCTCAAAATATTTTAACCAATTAACAGATCGCTGCTTGATAAGTCGTATCAGATTTTCTTTTCTGAATTTAAACTATATCATAATTGTGTTCGATTATTCTTCAACAAAACTATTTTTGGATGGGTGTTCAAAATCTCAGACACAAAAATACAAAATTGATGATATATTCAAGAATAAGATTCATTAGTATATTTCCTTAACTTTCACTTCTCTTTCTCATTATAATTTATCTTAAAATTAGATCCTTTTAATAGAATCGATTCGCACATACGGCTTCACATCCGTATAAATTCATTACCCACACGACATGTATATCGAAAAGCAAGATATATCATCCCATTTCTTTTTGGCATTCCCATGTTACAGAACAAACAAGTTTGAAGGTAAAAATATATTATAACACATCTTATTAAATGACAATACTTATCGCCATCGGCAGTTCACAGTTTGTTTCAGCGCTCCATATTATTCTTCAAGAAATTTGCTTATGTACCCAATATGCAAATCTTCATTTGGTTTCTACATTCTAATTTATATAAGAAAACAATTATTATAATTACTACAACTACTCCGAAAGAAACTAGTGCTCAGTATCTTTTGGAATAAATACATTTTAACTAATTGTTGCTAATAATGACTGCATAGATGGAGACTATCAGATTATTTCTGGTTTGATCAAAATAAGTAACTCTACACTCATTCAACATTGATATTTACATCTCAGTTGTGCAAACTGCATACAAATTAAATCTGAATAATTGCAGCACTTCTAAAAAATTCTTGACAATTTTTGTTTCCAGTCTTACAACCGAATATAAAGGCTAGAAAGTGCAATTGTGTGTGTGGGCACATGGTTTCAAGCTAGATAAATTGCTCATGAGAGTTTAGAGTGGAAATTTGAATTGCAAGGTGTTATGGTGTACATGTAGATGGTGTCACTTGGAAGCCGGCAAGTTCAGAAAAATTAAATATGTAAAAGTTTATACAACGAATCAATTGTTTGTACCATAGGAGTTCAAGCCTGAATTCAGACGATAGGTATAGAGGAGGAGTGATCGCGACATTATTTCCATTTGGATTATATCGCACAATACACACAGTGCCAAAAGGACATCCGCGTCATTTTGAAGAACAATTGGATGTGTAAACTTTTCTTAAATCAATGTATATTTAGAGATGAATTTAAAACACATAATACGATTAATTTTCCAGAAACATATTCATTCATTAAATCGATCAAG